CCAACTTATAGCGACCCTATAGGACAGAGTAGAACTGCCCCATAGGGTTTCCAAGGAGTGGCTGGTGGATTCGAACTGCCAACCTTTTGGTTAGCAGCCATAACTCTTAACCACTATGACACCAGGGCTCCATAGCATTGTGCTAGTGGATAAAAACTAAGTAAGGGCATAGAGCGAGTAAATAATAGAATCAGGAAACATGATTTAACGTATAGAGAGAGCCTTACATCTTTTGACTAGAGAATACACCTTTTTCCCCCAAATGACCATAGACTATAAAATAAAACCTTAACAAATTAGAAAAAAAAGGAGATTTTACAAGCCACATGCTTTGATTATAAGCCAATAAATTATAAATAACTAATAATAAAGTGACTGGAAAAAAAACCCTTAGGTAATCCTTGGATTAAAGAGAAAATTAAAAAAATTAATAAAGCATATAAAAGAAAAAAAGCATACTTCATACAATAAAGTATGGGAAATAGTGAAAGCAATACTTGAAGGAAATAAATACCCTTAAAGTCTATATTATTAAAAAATATAAGAACTCTAAGTACTAGTTTTAAGAAATTAGAAAAATAACAAAAATAAACCAGAACAAGCCAAGAAAAGGGAATCATAAAAGTTGAAAGTAAGTATAAATGAAATTAAATAATTAAACTTTCAAATGATGTTTTTGTAAATTTGTAGTATTTATACTTCTGAAGTTTTTAAAACTTAAAACTCCACTAAGATTTTTGAGGTACCCTGTCCAAAGCTCTGACAATTGATAAAGGAGAAAACAGACTAGTCGAAAAGTGGGCAAAGAAAATGAGTAGACACTTCATAGAAGAGCAACTCCAAATGGCCAACAAAACAAATTCATTTCTAGTCAGGGAATTGCAAATTATATAACAATGAAATTTCACTTACTCAGAGTAGCAGAAATTTAAAAGAGAAGTGACACCTAATATTGATGGGAAAGTGGTTCTCATACATTGCTGAGGGAAATAGAAGTTTTTTTATCCTTTTCAGAAAGTAGTCTGTCAGAATATATTAATATTAAAAATTCATATACACTTTGACCCACCAATTCTGCTTAGGGGACTCTAGCCCATACAAACAAAGACCTATTATGTAATAATATATAGTATAAGTAATTATGCCCATAATTCTTTCTGCCACTCCTTTCCTCAGATTCTAGATCTTTGTGTATATTGTTTTGGTAAGTAGTCTGGATAAATAAATCATAGAATGTTATTGCTAGAAGAGAGCTTGAAATCATTTAGACCACTGACTCAAAATTTAGTCTGTACTAGACTCACCTGAAGGGTTATTAAAACACTGATTGCTGGGGTCTCCCACCCCCGAATTTCTAAGTCAGTAGGTCTGGCATGGGGCCTGAGAATTTTTATTTCTAACAAATTCTTAGATGATGTTGCTCCTGGTCAGGGTACACTCTGAGAACCACTGATTTACACCAGTCTTTTACTTTACAGATGATGAAGCCTAAGAATATATTAGTTTTATCAAATCACTTGTTCAAAATCACAGTTACTTGGTAGCAGAGGCAAGACTAGCTCCCAGTTCTTCCGGTTCTTCATAGGTTTTTGGTTCTTGGTGTGTTAAATGGAATAAAGGAATGTAGAGTGTACTTGCTATTTTATGGAAGTATTAATGAACTGTAAACAGTTTGACTTGTTGTTTCTCCTGCTTACAGCATATATTGCTCCTTTGAGGAAAAGAGAGTTATTGCAATGTGGAAAAGACCAGACAGGGACTTGTGATACATGATTATTCTTTGTATAAACAATAAAAAACCAAACCCGTTGCCGTTGAATCAATTCCGGCTCATAGCAACCCTATGGGACAGAGTAGAACTGCCCCATAGGGTTTCTAAGGAGCAGCTAGTGATTTGAACTGCTGACCTTTTGGTTAGCTGCCAATCTCTTAACCGCTGCGCCACCTATTTGTTAAAGTAAACCAGTGATTCTCAGCACTATTAGACACAGTGTCCCCTTTTTGTAACACATATTTTGTAATGACTCTTTACTATCCTGTAATGAAATTCACAGATGATATAACCTACTTAAATATAACTTCAAAAAAATCAGTATAGTGCCCTAAACTGTAATATAAAGGAGAAATGAAAGATTTATTTATAATAAAAAAATATTTTTAATATGCTAGTATACAGACACAACTACACCAGAAAACAAAATTTATTAGATGCTTGCACCTACATAGCACCCTCATGAATGCAAAAGCTAAAAATAATGACAGATATAAGTATGCTGTTTTGGCAACTCAATACCACAAGCACTGCTAACATTGGTGATGTGCTTTTCTGAAATGGTGAAAACTCTTGGTAAAGTTCTTAACGAAACAAAATTATAGTACCCTTAATTTATTCATTAATTGCATTTCTGGAAAATTCATTTTTAAAAAAGCTGTGTTTACAAGTAAAACAGACTTAGGTTCTAAGTTCAGATAGCTATGAACAGGTTTTCATTTATGTGAATGTTCAGTGAGACATTTGAAAGTTGCACAAGACAGGGTAATTCTTAATGTTGCGATTCTGTCTCATGCATTACAGGACATTTAGTGTCCCTGGAAATGGAGCCCTGGTGGCACAGTAGTTAAGCGTTCAGCTGCTAGCGAAAAGGTACACAGTTCGAATCCATCAGCTGCGCCTTGGAAACCCTATGGAGCAGTTCTACTCTGTCCTATAGGGTCGCTATGAGTCAGAATCAGTGGGTTTGGTTTTTGGCTTAGTGTCCCTGGAAGGAGCCCTGGTTGCACAGTGGTTAAGCACTTGGCTGCTAACCGAAAAGTTGGTGGTTCGAACCCACCAGCTGCTCTGTGGGAGAAAGATGTGGAAGTCTGCTTCTGTAAAGACTTACAGCCTTGGAAACCCTATGGGGTAGTTCTGCTCTGCCCTACAGAGTCGCTGTGAGTTAGAATCAGCTCAATGGCAGTGGGTTTCACTGGGTTGGTACCTTCTCTGTAAATGCCAGCCATGCCTTCACAATTCATTGTCAGAACCAGCGTACCCACATATTTACAAAATTCCCTGGGAACAATACTGCCTCCCATGAGAATCCACTGGATAAAGAGCATTGTTTTCCTGTATTACAGAAGAGCTTCCTGCCAGGGTTTTGGTAGCCAGTAAGCTTAAGTATTCTTATTTAACTCACTTTTTTGACGCTTAAGCACAAAGTATTTTTTAAAAAAACCACCAGTTGCCATCGAGTCTACTCCAACTCATGGCGACTCCATCTGTGTCAGAGTAGAACTGTTTTTTCAGAAGTAGATCACCAGGCTTTTCTTCCAAGGTGCCTGTGGGTGGACTTGACCTGTCGACCTTTTGGTTAGCAGCCAAGTGTATTAACCATTTGTACCACCCAGAGACAGCATAAAGTATTCTAACAAATTCCATCTTCTGTGTAATTGCATTGTTTAATTATAGTTAGGATCTTTCTTTGTAGGTTCTTTGTGGGGGCAGAATGAGGAAGTGTGTAAACTCATCCACTGTCCTAATCTATGCTTTTTTTCCCCTACCCTTTATCTTCTAGGGGGAATGCAGGCCCAAGTTGGAATACCAGGAAGTGGACCAGTGTCCTTGGAGCGAGGACAAGGTAAGTAAATATTAATGTCTGATTAATATGGACTGGATTTGGTGCTCTCATATTTTTCGGCACTGTCCAGTATGGAAGCTACTAACCACATGTGGCTATTTAAATAGTAAATTAACTAAAACTAAATAAAATTTAAAATTCAGTTCCACAATCACACTAGCCACTCCAAGTACTCAACAGCCTCTTGTAGCTAGTGGATACCCTACTGGAAAGCACAGATATAAAACAGTTCCATCATCACAGAAAGTTCTGTTGGAAAGCACTGGTCTGTACTTTCTACCTAGTGATTCAGAACCCAGCTCTATAAGAATTGAGGATGAAGCAAATAATCCTTTATTTCTATTTAATTTATATTGCGTTTTCCTGATAGTTGGAGCCCTGGTGGTACAGTGGTTAAGAACTCAGCTGCTAACCAAAAGGTCAGCAGTTAAAATCCACCAACTGCTCCTTGCAACCCCTGTGGGGCAGTTCTACTTTGTCCTGTAGGATCGCTATGAGTCAGAATCAACTCAACGGCAGTGGATTTGGTTTTTTGGTATCTGGATAGTCTAATTATTTTATTGACATGTTCTCTCTCCCTCTGAGGATATCTGTTGACTGAATAAGGAATTTTAATAATGAGTATATGATATGTGGCAGGATATATAAGAAGACTAGATTTAAACCTCACAGAATACTGGTAGGGGCCATGGGTCTGTGAAGCCTACTTGATAAGTGTCTGTTGTACTGCAGCAGCAGTCATTCTAAAATATCCACCTTATTTCTCCATGTTACTAGAGTTTGAAAGAAAAGAAAATGCAGTGACTTGGTTGAAAACAATGTTAGGAGGAGAGAGAGTGAGAAGAGAAGAAAGTAATAATAAATCTGAGTGTGTACTATATGCCATACACTTTAATCTTCATAAACAACCTTGTGAGTTAGGTGGCAGTACCTCAGTTTTATAGGTCAAGAGATGGAAGCTCAGAATTTTTAAGTTAGTTACTCAAGGGGACAAGTAAATAAATACTAATGTCTGATTAATGTGGACTAGATTTGGTGTTCTCATCTTCTCTTCTAACTAGTAGTGGCAGAGCTAGGATTCAGAAGTCTCTGACCCCAAGACTTATCTGCTTTCTGTCACTGCACACTGCCTCTGTTAACTTCCAAAAATATTCTTCAATACCTTATACTCTTATTCATTGCATCTCTGTGATGAGAAAAGACTACAACTGGACAAGCATAGAGAACCTTACATTTCTTCTTAGCATATGGCCTATAAGTAAAACGGATTTTTAAAAAGCGAAATATTAAGGTATAGGCCTGTGCACTATGCTCCTTTTCTATGGCATGTACACTGGGGCTGGTTGCTGAAGTGACAACTAGTAATCGTTTCTGCAAAGAGGGCTGAGAACAGGACAAGCTCCTGGCTAGACACCTCGTCTTTTCTCTAAGCAGCCCATGCTGTTGTGTGCCCCACCCCACCCTCAGCCACTATCAAAAGATCACGTATGTATACCCTAAGTATTTTTGCAGTCGTGAGAAGGGATTAGGGTTTTGGTCATACTTTTGTCTCTCCTCAGGCCATGAATCTAATAGCAGATTTAGCTTTTTAATATATAACGTCCATAAAACATCATCCTTTCTGCTAGAGGAAAGAAATTAACAAATTCTGGTCAAAAATTAACAAAGGGAGATGACTCATGTTATGAAGGTATATCAAGGATGTCTTCATGAAGAGACAAAATGAGATGGGGTTTTTTTTTTTTTTTCTAGATTTCTTTTTTTCAGCACCCAGCAGAGGAAGTTAGCATCTTTTAATTCATACCCAGTTTGTCTTAACTTTTCCTGGAATCTATGGGTCGCCATGAGTCATAGTCGACTCGACAGCAACTAACAACAACAGTGCTTCTTTTGTGCATTTGTAATGGTGAAAGGAGACAGTGAAATGATTGAGAGTATACTTTTTCTTGTTTCTACCACCTGTGTTTAATATGTGTGCCCTTGTCATCTCATTAGTCTTTGTTTGTTGTTATCATGTTTGTTTATTATTAAAGACCTGTGGCAGAATATTTCTTGTGAAGTGATAGTCTCTTTGCTTATCAAAAGTTCACTCACTGCATTTCCCCATTTGATATTTCTTTGATAGCAGAAATTTTTGTGCTTTAAAATATAGCAAAAATAGTGCTGCCTCACTTCTGTTTGGGCCTCTCCAGAATAAATCTTGCCTTCCAAATTCAGTGTACTTCCTTTCATATTTTGCTTGTGAAGATTATTTCCATTATTTGCTTAATTATAGATTCAAAATCATCCTTTTATGTATTTATTTTTGTAATGGCATCATAAGGAGATTTAGGGGAAAACGTAATAGTAGCAGAGATGAAAATCGAAAATGGCTGATATTTCTGCCCAAATAAATCATTGGCCCATGAGTTTTACCGCAGGAAGCTATCTTGTCAAAGTTGGACTGTGTTTCGGTGATCCAAAGGAAATAATAAAGGAAGATTTTGTAGCCTTAGGCAAGCCAATGAACTCTTGACTTTTTAACTTACATGTGTAAATCTCCACTCTGTGTATGTGTATGTTTCTGCGTGTGCATGCAAGCTATTTTAAGTGCCTGCTGTTTCTCCTTTTGAACTTACTGCTTACCTAGGAACCCTACAGCACTCGCCCGTGGGACCCGCCGGGCCTGCATCAATTGAGCGAGTTCAAGGTACCCATTGTATCTGTGGGTTTCCTATTGCTTGTGGTGTTCAGGGTGGGACATTGAGAGGAAAAGAGCTGCTTGGCAGTCATCCTCCTGTTCAGAACCCAAAAGGGTAGTGTTTTCGGTTTTTGTTTTTTAATTTTTTCATGTTGGGGCCACAAGCCTAAGATTGACCTCTTCACACAGGGCAGAGAACATGGATGATATGGGCATCTGTCCGAGGCTGTACTCCCTCCCTACTGGTGTCAGGAGGCTTGGATGGAATAGCAGTCTGTAAGGAGACAGCGGGTTCTTGCAGAGACATGGCAGTGTTCACATATGCCAAGACCCTACCTCTTTTGTGACTTTGGCCCTTGAACTAAGATTGATTTTAAGGAAGACCAGGAGCATAAGTCTCTTCAGGTTACAGTGCTAGTCTTCGGCAGGTTACACCCCAGTTTGCTCTTTATATAATTCCATCCATACCTCTGACATGGTACAGATTCTGCCTACACCCTGCTTCTGTTCTTGAGCTGCAAGAAGATTCTGCTGTGGTGAGGTTTCACCCACTCTGAGGTGTCTGAATTATGTTGTCAGTGGTATATAGAGTCATTTCTTGTTTCCTTATGTGTCCTTCACAGCAGTAACTCCCCATTTGTTTCCCTGTCAGTGCCAATGCAAGACCCCAGAGCAGCTCTGCAGCGTGGACCCTTGCCTGCCAATGTTCCAACTCCTCGAGGTCTGTTAGGAGATGCTCCAAATGACCCACGTGGAGGCACTTTACTTACTGTAACTGGAGAGGTTGAGCCTAGGTAAGGACTAACATAGAAGGGAAAGATGGGAAAAATTAGGATTTTCCCTTGGTTTGAGAATAAAGACTTTCAGTACCAGGTGTATCTGTTCGCCTACTTCAAAAGATAAATAAATATTCGTGGCCACTGTCTAAGACTAAGTGCTTCTCCTAGGGCAGAACTATGTAGTTTAACAGGTCATTTTGAGCTAACACTGACTACTATATCCTCAGAAATCAGAAATTGTAGCACAGATACCTGAACAGGGAAAACTTATATTGTTTAGTGGTAATAGTAATAGCAGTAATAATAATTGGCAGCATTAATGGAATACGTATGTGCCTCTGACTCTAAGTACTTAGATCATCTCATTAAATCACACAACAACCCTGTGAGATAGGTACTATTATTAGTTCTATTTTACAGATAAAGAAACTGAGGCATAGATAAGTTAAGTAGATGTGCCCAAGATCATACAGTTAATAAGTGATAGAGCCTAGATTTGAGCCCATGTAATCTGAATCCAGAACCCATGTTCTTTATCACTATACTATATGGTCTCATTATATGTGTAATGGATATCCATTAATTCTTCCATTATTGTGAGTGCCCCAACCAAATACGAAATTATAGAATACATGAATTTATGTCTCTATAGCTTCAACCTGTTTGGTTTTATTATCTTGTTAGCATTGGTACACTGACGTTCGCATCAGTTCTTTGGTTTTACTTACTGATCTCCTGGTTTACTCTTTGTTCTTGTATTGTTCTATTTTTAAATATAACATTTTTCTTCATCTCTAGAGGTTACTTGGGACCACCCCATCAGGGTCCACCCATGCACCATGTCCCTGGCCATGACAACCGTGGCCCACCCCCACATGAGATGAGGGGAGGTCCATTAACGGAGCCCAGGCCTTTAATGGCAGAGCCAAGAGGACCCATGATGGATCAGAGGGGTCCACCCTTAGATGGCAGAGGTAAGAGGAGTCCTCTTCACAAGGCTAACTGGTAGTTGTGGACTGGTAATGACCCTGGCTGTCTTAGACTCTAATCTGAGATAAAGAATGCTGGGGTAATAGGGTTGGCAAGCATTTTTAAGGTTTAGCTGCTTATCTAAGAAACTGGGGAGGAGAAAGCAGTCTCATAGTTGGGAGGAGATGTGACTGAAGGAATAGATTTCTATTTTTCTTTGATTGTTGGTTCTTACAGTAAAGGAGAGTAGCTATACAGTAGTTTTCTTACAACTTTCTCTGTAGGTGGACGAGATCCCCGAGGAATGGATGCACGAGGGATGGAGGCACGAGCCATGGAGGCAAGAGGATTGGAGGCCCGTGCGATGGAGGCCCGTGCAATGGAGGCCCGTGCGATGGAGGCCCGTGCGATGGAGGCCCGTGTGATGGAAGTCAGAGGAATGGAAGCCAGAGGCTTGGATACAAGGGGCCCAGTCCCTGGCCCTAGAGGCCCTATGCCCGGTGGAATCCAGGGTCCTGGGCCAATTAACATGGGGGCCGTTGGTCCCCAGGGGTCTAGACAGGTATGTGTAGCACTCACTTTTAGCTTCTATATGAAATCTCGATCTATTCAGGAACTGATTATTGAGCCTGATTATTACCGCTTTCTGATCTGGGCTATTTCTCAGCTTGTTACAAAGAGAAGACTAGGATTTCCCTTCCCTTAATTTCTCCATCACTTAGCATGCTGATTTTCTGGCCACCAAGACTGTAGTCCAAAAGTAACTTCGTCCCCCAGTTTCAGTAGCTATTCCACTCAGAGCAGAGCCCCTGAAATTTTAGAGGTTAGACAGTACTCTTCACTGGGGACACAAATCAACATCATGTACAGGCTTTTCCCGAGATACACTTGCCTGGACCTCACCTCAACCCTAACTCTCAGAGTCTCTATCAGTAGGTTCTGGTTATGGATAGTTTGAAAAACCTCCCCAAATGATGCTAATGTACAACCCTAATTAAAACCCACTGGATTAGAGCGTGTAAAGAGCTGTAAGTGGTCGTTTAGATAATTTTAGGTTTGTAGAAACCTATGTTAATTTACTCTATGTTAATTTACATAGCTTAAGTGAACGGTGGAGTATGAAATGCAATTTACTAATGCTCACCTTAAAACAATGGAATTGAATTCTTGTCTTTTCTTTCTCTTCTTTGTTTGGCCCTCTCCCACCATATGAATGTGGTGGTCTATTCTGTGATTGTGTGTTGTCATCTCTTCCCTCTTCCCCCCAGTTGGTTGTGGGGAAGTGGTATATGTGTATCTTCCCTGAGTTTTTATACGCTAGCTCCTTCTTTGCCTCTAGCCCCTCCACTGTCCTTTTTCTTATATGTGTCTTCCTCTGTGTACTTCTGTGTCTTTTCCCTCTCCCCTGTGTTTTTGTGTCTTCTTCCCCTTGTGTGTGTGAGAGAGAAAGAGAGAGATTGATTTTTCATATCAGAGCTGGAATGGAACATGTCAGTCATCCAATTTGCTCATTTTATAGGTTCGTAAACTGAGGCCCAAGAACTCAGATGACTTGTCCAAGTTCACACAACCAATAAGTGACTGAACAAAGAATAGAACCCATTATTTTTTCCATTGTACTACTCTGTCCTGTTATCTACACCTGCGTGTGTGTGTGGATGTGTGTCTTCCTCCCCCTCTTTAATATGAAATATGAATATGTTTTTTCTGGTATGTGAAGAATACTTTTCTCTAGTGTTTTTCAAGTTGTGCTTTTAAAAAAATTTGTAGGCCTTTTTTTTTATTGTGCCGTCTAACGTAAGTATGGAGCCCTGGTGGCACAGTGGTTAAAGAACTCAGCTGCTAACCAGAGGATCAGCAGGTCAAATCCACCAGCTGCTCCTTAGAAACCTTATGGGACAGGTCTCTGTCCTGTAGGGTTGCTCTCAGTCGGAATTGACTTGACAGCATTTTTTTTTTATGATCAGTAGCCTCATAATAGAAATGGTTCTTTTTGTATTCAGTCATTCAAGAAATATTTATTGAGCACCCACTATATACCAAAACATCGATCTGGGTACTGGGCATATAGCAATATGAACAAAATAAAGTCCCTGCCCTCATGGAGCTTACATTCCACTTGGGGAGACAGACAACAAACGATTACATAATGGCTAGATCTATCATTGCTTATGTACTTCTGTTGTTAATACTGTGGAGAAAAACATCGAAAATAATGGTTAGAAGAGCATTTCTGGATAATGGTTTATTCTTTCATCTCTATTAGTGCTTGAACTTATTACTGTGTAATATTAGGTGTATATAATTTTCATTAGTAGATTCTATAATGCCAATTTGATCTGAGGTGAAGAAAATTAGAAATTCTATCTTCAAACCTTTAAAAATTTTGTTGAATTGTTAATATGTTCACTTATATAAGTATATAATATAGTCATATATAAAAGGTACACATTAAGAATCTTGGTTCCTCCCTGTACATGTTTTCCCTGTGACCCCGCCAGCCCCTAGAGGTCATCACTTTTTTTAGATTTTTATGTATCATTCCAGCAAATACGAATATATATTCTTCTTCCTCCTTTCACTGTTTTGCACCTTGGTTTTTTATGTAACAATATATTCTTAATTCATAATTTTAAATCAGATATTTAAATTAACTCCGGTCTACCTTGTTGGAATCTTGTGACTAAAAGGCTTATTATTTAGATGGTTATATAATTTATTATCTAAACAGGGACACATTTGAAAGTGAAAGAGAGTACTGTTAATAATTAATCTGAGACAAAAGCATACACTGAGACTGTCTTAGGCAAACCAGGATGCATGGTCACCCTTAGTATTACTGGTCTGCCTAGAAGAGGCACTTCTGGAAACTTTGAATGGCCATTATAGAGTGGTTAGATCACATTACAGCATCTCAAATTAGTATTGACTAAAGCTTCAAAAAGGTTACTCTCATAGGTGTTTCAGATCTGTAACAGATCATTAAAGCTCAGACCAGTCTCTGGATTCAGCACTGATAAACAACAGAAAGTGATAATATCCTCGCAATCTGTACAAAGCTATACTGGTGCTTCAGTTTTCCAATTTCCTTGGGAAATTAATGCACATAAGTGAAAGTTCCAGATAATAGAAATATTCTACCTAGTTTTTAAACTAGTTTAATGAAAAATAACAAGTGTTTTGTATGCTTCCTTCCAATCTTAAACAGCGTACAGAAAGTTATTTTACTCTTTTTTGACTACTCAAGAGTCATTAAATATATCCATTATTGTATATGCTAAAATATAAAGCATTCCCTTTTTGGTTTCTGGTCTCCTTCACTGTTAGCCTGTCACCCAGCTCTCCAAATTGCTGTTAGGTATCTGCTCGTAACAGTTGTTTATCCTGTATTTCTTTTATGCTTTGCTGCTTCTAATCTGCTGGGGAAGCAGGTAACAAGTCTGTTAACAGTGTGTGTTTAATGAGTACATAAGCTCTGGGTGAATGCTTGAGTGTGAACGTAGCTCTAGTGTAAGGAACCTTTTGGCAGTTATTCTAGGTGCTCAGAAGCCTTTTCCTTGCATTCTGGTAGTCTTCCAAAGGGCTGAACTCATTGAAAATCTTGAATTCGGATAAGTATCATGTAACTGTACTTTGTTCTTTTAATTTGGGTCAGTCATGTTTCTTGATCTGTATTTAGTGAAAACATCAGCATATTCTCTATGAAAAGCTATAAAAATCAAATGTTGGGCTAATAGCAGTCTTTTCCCCAGAGACCTTCCCATCTCCTTTTTGCCTCTCTGACATTATGATCATCTCTGCCTTACTCGTGGAATAGGGCCCTTTGGGACAAACTACCTATGTCTGATTGTACTAGAGGTAGGCGTTATTCCTGTGAATGTAGCTTCCCCTGTGGACCAGCATATATTATCTCTTAGAATCTAGTGGCTTTCATTTGTGTTTCCACTGAGCACTAGTTTCCAGGGTGGCTGAATTTTGCTTGATTTGATGATACCCAGTTGTGTGATATTTGTTAAAGATGCTGAAGCTGTTGTAAGAGGTGTGTCTAACTTGCTGGTTAATCTTTGGCTAACCCCTGCCTTCTGCCATTGCTGATAGTAGAAAATGATCTTCAGGGTCATTTTTTTTTCATATCCATATGCAGATCTTATTTTGCACATTGCTAATACTGGATTCTGGTTACCCATATGTGAGAAGTTCAGAAAATCTCTCCTCACCTCTCTTTGTGCACATAGGTCCCAGTCATGCAGGGAGCAGGCATGCAAGCCACGGGCATGCAAGCCGCGGGCATGCAAGCCGCGGGCATGCAAGCCGCGAGCATGCAAGCCGCGGGCATGCAAGCCGCAGGCATGCAAGGAGCAGGCATGCAGAGTGGAGGCCAGCCTGGTGGCTTTAGTCCTGGGCAGAACCAAGTTACTCCACAGGATCATGAGAAGGTAAGCAACACTGTTTAGTCTTTATGATTCCTCTTTTCATACTTACCATGTGGAGGTCCTGGGTCCTCAAAGTCCCTTTGGAGGTGATGTTTACTCCACTGTAAAACTCTTTTATCATCTTGTTACCTGAAAGTTCGTCGGCCTGCTCTTAAACAGTTCTTCAGTGGATATAAATGGCAGCTTAACTTATATTTCACACTCATCTGCCAATAGCCATTTTTTTGTGTGCAGGCCAGATTGACCTGAAAAACCAAATCTCTTTCTTCCTCCCTAAAAAGAAAAAAAATAATAGATTCCCCACTAGTGTATCTTTCTGTTTTTGTATTCGACTTTGTGGGGAGCTCATGTCTGATGGAAAAACTTGTAAAAAGGAGACTTTCAAAATGGGATTAAAGTCGCTTTCTGGGGGGATACTATATTAGTCTGCAGAAACTTTAGGTTCATGAAGATGTCTGTTTCACATCTTCTAATCTTAGGTGTTTTAATTTGTACATGTTCTTCTCATTGTGTCTTTTCTCACCAGCTTCATTTTGGCTACCGTTTTCTGTGTGTGAAATACTTCCATTCCCTGTTTTGCTCCATGTCTTACTACAGTAGCTTTTTGGGCAGAAGCTGATACTGTTTTTTTTATGCTATCATTATTAAAACTCATTGCCTTTTTTCTTCTGCACAGGCTGCTTTGATTATGCAGGTTCTTCAACTGACTGCAGACCAGATTGCCATGCTGCCTCCTGAACAAAGGCAGAGTATCCTGATCTTAAAAGAACAAATACAGAAATCTACTGGAGCGCCTTGAAAGGTGAACAAACTTAATCCTATCTGAGTAGGACACACTCCCTGTGCATTATGGGTATATACTTTCAACCTTAACCAACAAGATCGTTCTCTCTAAGGCCCTCAATCCTCTTAACTAGACTCTCTTTCCCCTTGGGTAGGTCACCCCCTACCGGGATAGGGTAAAACCATAGAACGTTTTTTTCAGTTGTTGGATTCAGTGTAATCTTTTTTAACTTTTGTTTCCAAATGACAAAAGTAAGATATGATCATTGTAACAAAATTAATCAAATACAGAAATGTAGAAAGTTAAAAACCTCTGCTTTCTCAGTCTCATTCCTCAGATGTTACTTCTAAATATAGTTTGTTGTGTATCCTTCCAGAATTAGTTACATTTTATTACAAGCTGTCCCATCACAATGTAGAAAATACAAAGTTTCAATAAAATGTGTAAATATTTTAATTTACAGTATTTTATATTGAATATTTTGACGTTAAACTATTACAGCACATAATTAGAGGTAGCAGATTACACCATCATCATCAGTTTCTGTACATTTTAGAGATTGCTATACACTGCTGCCTTTATTTTTCTTGCTCATCGGTTGGGTAAAAAGTATCCAGATAACCTGCCTCATAATCATGTGACCTACGTTGATTATAGGTATTGGTATTTCTTGTTTAATTATTTTTCCCCAACATCTTTGTATTTCTGGAACAATTCCATTTTCTAGAGACAGTATAAAATTCACATTGTTCCAATATCAACTGGAATAATCACCTTTTGAGTTTCTCCTTTTTTCCTCCCCACATTATAATGCCCCCCCATATGTTATCATATAATAGTGAACTCACTTAGACTAATTAGCAGTCTCAATAAATTGTATTTCAGAATATTATTGTGGGGAATGGGAAGTTAATGCTTAATGGGTACAGAGTTTCTGTTTGGGGTGATATATAAATGTGTAATCTGAAATAGTCACACATTTTATTGAAATTCTTTGATTTTCTACATTTTGATGGGACAGCTTGTAATAATATAACTAATTCTGGAAGGATACACACCAAATAGTGATGATGGTTATATGACATTGTAAATATAATTAATGCCACTGAAATGTACATTTAAAAATGGTTAAAGTGGCAAGTTTATGTTATATATATTTTACCACAATAAAAATATTTATATTTATATTTGTAACTGTCTTTAAAACATCCCAACTGTAAATATGTGTCATAGCTAAGTTTAGACTTGAAATGACTGAACTATAACGGGAAGCTGGTGTAGATGGATGGCTCTCCAGGCTTTTGGTGTGACTACTACTCGAACATTTCATTCCAGATACCCTAGGTGTTCTATTTTCTTCACTAAAAGCATAAACTAGCTATTATATTCAGAGGAATAGATAAGCTGTTCCCCTCTTTTACTTTTTCCAGTTTATTTATGCCAGAGAAGGCATCCCTACTATGTGAGAAAATTAGTGTTTTTGGATAGTGGAGGTAGAATATTTCTGAAGGTTCTTTCATTATGTATTCTTACTTATAAAATACCTCATTTTGGAGTCTTGCACATTAACTATAGGACAAGGTTTTTTGTTTTTTACTTTTTATTTTGAAATAATTATAGATTCACAGGAAGATGCAAAAATAGCATAAAGTATCTCATGTACCCTTTACCCAATGGTGACATCTTGAATAGCTGTATACAATATCAAAATCAGGAAATTGATATTTGTACATTACTGTTAACTAGACTACAGACCTTACTCGGTTTTCACCATATTTTAAAAATCTGCATTCATGTGTGTGTGTGTGTGTGTCTAGTTCTTTGCAATTTTATATGGGCAAAGTTTTGATGTATATTTGCTGGTACTTTTGCATATTGTGGCCAAAATGTTAGCTTTCCCTTTATCTTATACCTAGCCAGTTGTGGTCCATCTCTGCCATCACTGACAGGCTTAGATATCATTACTATTACCATATTTTTATGCAAATAACCCACACCTTCTATGTTTGTTTGCCAACTACTCCTCCCCACCAGGGTATTTTTGTTAGTGCTTTATGCTAATTTTTTTTACAGCAACGTGTAAAGAAAACTGGCATACCCGACACTTGTGAAAATATCTCGAGAGGGGAGGGAGTGGTTGGCAAACAAATGTAGAAGGTGCACATTATTTGCGTAAAAATACAGTAGATCAGTGGTTTTCAACCTGAGGCAATTGTGCCCCCTAAGGGACATCTGACAGTGTCTGAAGACATTTTTGGTTGTCACAAATAGAGGGTGGGATGCATTACTGACATTAAGTGGGTAGAGACATGCTGCTAAACATCTTATAATGCACAGGGCATCCCCACGCAACAAAGAGTTATCTAGCCCAAAATGTCAGTGGTGCTGAGTTGAGAAACCCTGCTGTAAGGGACGATTGCTTTTGGAAGGCAGGAGGCAGACACCTTAGAAATCTGTCCCTGGTGATTTGTAGTGATCTTATATATATCCTCCCTTCACAGCCTTTTTTATTTTTTTCCTGATGTTTGGGGAAGAGAACTTTGTCTTTACTTCTAATGGCTTTCTCCTGACTTTATCTTATAGGTTTTCAAAATACCTGGCAACAAATCTGGAAAATTTTTCCGTAACTCTGTTGAAATGTTGAAAAGATGACTTCTACATCCTCCCCCTTGAACGGCTCAGATTGGTGCCAGGTGGAGGACTCGCATCACCTCTCAAAGCAAAATCACTTCATTTCTGTTGTCTTAGTTTGTATATTTTCTGTGACTTGAAATAAACTTTGAACATAATTTTAGTACCCTGCAAATTGATATACATGACCTTTTTGCTTTTAAAAAGCTGTGAAGACCAAGGGAGAAACCTTAGACTTGTTTCCTACCCTTACCACAGTATTGTACTTTAATGTTATATTGCCATAGCTCTGCTTTTACTTTTAAGTTAACCATTTGTTCTTACGATGAAAGTATTTGAGAATCTCAGAAGCAGTGTTTTCTGGAACTTTGTTTTTGTTTAGTTTGCATTCAACGGGAGTAATAAGGCTTTGCCCTTTGAGAACTTTCTAGAACTTCCTTATGAGTCTCCTGGGAAAAAATAGCAAGTTCTTAGAGATGTGAAATGGTCAGACGGCAAATAAACAAAGCCTAGCAGAGCAGAGTGTTTAGAAAAATCCAAATATCAAAATGCATTTTTATGTCGATAGTAGATCTGCTCACACATACAGTTCAGAGTTAAGGCAAAGACATGTTAGTACTGGATTGAGTGTGTGCCAGCATATAAGAGACTGTTGACATTTATTCATCTGTTCTAAAACTCAAAAAAAGCCACTAATTTTTCACGTGTTCAAGATAAAAACTGAACAGAAATAAATGAACAAAGTACATTTCATCCAATCTTTCAGGTAGTCACTAACCTACAATTTACCTTATAAGCATATTTATTCTGGTAAAACATAGCAAACCCTAAAATGTCTATATTCTCATTTATTTTAAGAGGACCAGATGTAGAGCACAAGCAGTCAGATTACCGTTAAGTCTGTCCCTGCCTACTTACTTGTAGACAGGCATGAGCATAGGTAGTGCCACTGGCTCTAACCTATGGGTCTTCCAGCCTAGTGTTTTCTCTCTCATAGTGGCATTAAAGGGAAACATGGTTTCTCTCCATCAGGCCAACCTCAAGAGGTTGAGAGTTGCCTTAATAAGTAGTAAAGTTCTACTGGAACTACTCATAAGCCTATTTGTATTCTCAGAATCCTACCCCTGGGTTAGGATTGTGGTCAGGTGAATTAAAAGCCTGACGTAGGCTTAGAGAATGTAATAGCATATTGCTTACATGCAAAGCAAAAGAATACAAAGATAATCAACTTCATGAGCGACATTGAAATTGAGGGATTTTCTACTCTGATACAAACATTTACAAAAAAAATTTGCTGGATACGGTATTTCATATTACAACCTAAAAAGGAAAATTTCGTTAAAACAGCTGAGGAGCTTTGTGAGTATCCTGATCATCCCCAAGTCAGGATGTTGATTTATTATTATCATTACCTTTTCTGCCTAGTTCCATCAATATTCAGACCTTGGTATGTTGATTTTGGCAGCAGCCATATCTTGAAGTATAGTATATTTAGACCTTGAGAGCGAAGCTTTCCTTATTAGGAACTCATAAGTTTCAAGGGAACACTAAGATTCCAAATCAAGGTCATTGAAGATCCAATGACAATTTGATTAGCAGTTGTCTGATAGGAATGATAGCTTCAAGGTTCCATTGTGCATTTTCCTAAAACTGTATTAAACTTAATATAGATAGCTAAAATCTGGATAAACAAATTGTCAACAGCAGTGGTATCCCAGTCTTTCCCTATGAAAACACCATCAGTACTTTCTACTGATGTCCGATTAATAGACTAAATACAATTAGCTACCATGAGTTCATGACCTACCTTTGTTGTGTTCATACTAGTGACTGAAAAAAACAATAATCCTTCAAGCCATATAAGTTTATGGATAATTAGAAACAACCACTTGTTCATTCTTGGTCACTTAAGGGTAGAGAAAAAGATGCTATAATGCTAACTCAGTAGAAACATTCTTAGAAATCTATGAGTTGAATTGTCTTTGAGCACAATGAAGTATGGCTTTTCCCCCCTTTTAGGGCCCCAGTCCTCTTTCCTCTTAGTGATTCACTGTGACTACTGACATCCCAGGGCAGGTGTGGTTGCTGCAGGCCAAGGGTAGATAGATGGTTGAAATAAAAGGCATTTTGAAGGGAGAAAGAAAAGTCATTTTGCTTATGTCCTTGGGTAAATGAGTCCTTTGTGAATAGGTAACCAGAAGCCCCAAAAAATGTATTAAAATTCTAAATTCTTTACCTTTTAAAAAAACTACTTATTAATGCCCTTAATAAAAATGTGGCTAAAGAGCCCCTGTTGACTAAATGAATCATCCTAAGATGGAGTTCAAGTTTTTGCAATTGTTTCCAGCAGAACGTTACAAACTAATAGCAACATAAACATATTAATGTACTTTCAAGATTTTCTTCCATAAATGGAGAGCCCAGAAAAAGTAACAAAAGACTTATTGAGCAGTTAAGAAAATCCTTCATTTTTTGATGAGCAAAAATATTAAAGCATAAATTGCTGTTCACACTGGGTAAAACCATGTTTAAAATGACAGTAAGAATGTACATCGTTGGTGTTATATGGGGATGGGGTTCTTGGTAATTTTATGTTCATCGTTTTGTTATTTATGTTTATTATGTTTTGTCATTAATTATTCAATAAATTTTTATTTAAAAAGTCACCCTACTTAGAAATCTTCTGTGAGGGTGGGAAGGAAGGGAGATTATGAACCCAAGTCCAGGAGATAGTAACACTTGGAATCAGCAAAATCATCTGGGGTTAAATTGTGTGAATGTCAACCACCAAGCTCTCCTATCAGACTTTGTTGCAGTCATGAATTCCCAGGAGGATTTATGGTTATCTTCCTAAGAAAGGATTAATGGGCTTTGTAATTGTGGCTTCTGAACTTCTTAGGTTGGTGGAGCTCACATATGACAAAGTTGAATGCAATCAAGAAAGAATGCCAGGGAGTCAAGGCTGGAGAGGCACATTATTATCCTTAAGTGGCTGCCCAAACCTAACAGTTAACTTGTTGAAGATACAAAGGAGAGACAAAATGCAGATTACCATCCTTATTCCTGTAATTTAGAAGTTTTATTTGTTGAAATAGAATTGCCCTTTCCTAGAATCTAGACTGTTGATGGTATTTGTGCAGGCTTTTTGCTAAAGTCCAAGGACCACGTAGGAAAACTCCTGCCACAGACCTGCAGGAATAGAATAGTAAGGGCTAGAATTCTGCAAAGGCTGCTGAATGTTATTAGTGAGAATGGAGAAACTGGGCTGACTGGGTGTGATACAAATCACCACAACCTCCGCTAGGCCTCTACTGCCAACAACCTTGAATAAAAATTCAGGTGTTGAGTCCCTCCCGTGTTCTTCATGGTGGTTTTCTAACCTTTTGTGCTCACAGCCCTTATCACTTTTATCACCCTCAGCACTCAGCCTTACCTACCTTATTAAGAATATAGAGACTTGAGAGATACAGTACAGTGTAGTGGTTCAGTGCTAGACTCTGCAGCCAGTCTGGATTCCTATCCCAGCTGTGGCAATTATCCCACCTACATGATTTTAAGCAAGTTTCTTAACCTCTCTGTGTTTCAGTTTTCCCATCTGTGAAATGGGGATAAAAATAGTACCTACCTCTTAAGGTTATTTTGAGGATTAAATGAATAAGATGTAAAGCAATTAGAAAAATGCCTGGCACATAGGAAGTGCGTATGTGTTAGCTACCATTAAAAACCATGCTCTGTGAAGAGTTTATCTCCACCTCAAGATTTCTCATTCTGAAAAGATGGTGTTATTTCTTGCCAAGACTAATCTTTCCAACTGTGCTTTAGGTCTCACCTTCAGTTTTCTTCTCTCATCTTTCTCTTTACATTTTTTTAAAATTGAGATATAAATCACACACCATAACATTCTCCTTAGAGTGTACCAGTTGCCATTGAGTTGATTCCAACTCATGGTGACTCCATGTGTGTCAGAGTAGAACTGTGGGCTCCATAGGGTTTTTGATGGCTGATTTTTGGAAGTAGATCTCCAGGCCTTTCTTCTGAGACGCCTCTGGGTGGATTCTAACCACCAAACTTTCGGTTAGCAGCCTAGCGCGTTAACAATTTGCACCACCCAGGGACTCTTTAAAGTGTACAATTACTGCTCTTTCGTACAGCCACAAAGTTGGGCACCCATCACCACTATCTAATTCATTATCCCAAAAAGAAACCCTGTGCCTATTAGGATTTGCCCCCCTTTTGTTCCCAACCACCCCACCCCCCGCAACCCTAGGCAATGGCTATTCTACTTTTTGTCTCTATAAATTTGCCCACTCTTAACATTTCATTTAAATGGAATCATACAATATTTGGACTTTCATGACTGGCTTCTTTCACTCATCACAATGTCTTCCAGGTCCATCCATGTTGTAGCATGTATCAAAACTTCATTTCTCTTTATGGCTGAATAATATTGCATGGTATATATATACCACATTTTGTTTATTCATTCATCAGTTGATAGACATTTGGGTTGTTTCAACCTTAAGACTATTATGAATAATGCTGCTATTAACAGTGGTGTACAAGTATCTGAGTCCCTGTTTTCTATTATTTTGGGTATATGACTAGGAGTGGAATTGTTAGGTCATGTGGTAACTATGTTTAACATTTTGAGGAACTGCCAAGGAGTTTTCCAAAGTGCCTACACTATTTCACATTCCCACAAGCAATGTAGTACAGCTTCAATTTCTCCACATCCTCCCCAACCCTTGTTATTGTTGATAACAATATTGTGGCCATCCTAGTCCTCTCCTCTCTTTTTTATCTTTATCGCATTCCTATCTACTGAATCCTGCTCTGTCTTTAAATATACTTAGATTGTCCTTAAACTAAATAAGCATTTCCTGGACCCTGCCACTCCTCCAATACCGTTGACCCCGCTGCCCTAAAAAATTCTCCCTTGGCTTCTATGACTACTTCTCCAGGTTCTCTTCCATCTTCCCTTATTTATCTTTTTCCTTTTCCACATAATGTAGGCATTCCTGTCTTCTGCCAGTCCGTCTCCTGGCAATCTCATCCACTCTCACAGCTTCAACTATGTTCAACTCAAATAATACGAACATTAACATAATCTCACTTATATACTGCTTTACAGTTTACAGAGCATATTTAATGTATCATCTTGCTTAATCTACACAACAACCCTGCAGTGAGTAAAGCAGGCATTTACTAATATAATCCCCATTTTACAGATGATAAATCTAAAGCTCAGAGGGTTTTCTAGTTCAAGGTCCAGAACTGGAAAGTGTCAGAACCGGCATTCGGACCCAACATCTTCTGAATGTGAGTTACAAAGTGTTCTCTCCACTGTCTTCATGAAGCCTTTCTGGATCATCCCTATGTGACTATAGACTTTTCTTCCCTCAGATGTCCATGTACCTGTTTCATGGAGTGCATCATATTCTGCTTTGAGTTGATTGTATACATCTCTTATTAAAATGTGTGCTCCCTGAGAACAGGAACCATATTCTACTTCTCTTTCAACTTCCATAGCTTCTAAAATAGTGAGTGCTGGGCTTATAGAAGGTAACAAATGATATTTCTGGAACTGAATTTATCTTCCCCTGCCAACTTCTTCTGAGAGTTTATCTAACACAATCAGCTTAATCTCCTTCCCATTGGAATGGCTGGTTTCATAGCACCAAGTTTTCCTAACCTCTAACATGTCTCAAAACCCATCCAGAAAGACTTGAGGTCCGGTCACCAGTTAACCAGATAATACAATCCAAACCATTTTTACTTTCAGTATAGGCAATTAAGGCCAAAAAGTACATTTGAATCGCTTCAGTTCTCTCTTTGTCTCTGTCTCTCTCTCTGTAGTATAGATCAGAACTGAGTCTCTTTGCCTCAGTGTTTGAATTGGGGCTTGCTGGGGCAGCAAACATCTTCTCATCAATTACAAGATCTTCCTTATTGTGCTAAAATCCTGGATGAAATCTCCTTGATTTTAAGCAGGAATCTAAGAATGGTGCAAATACTTTCTGCTGCAGAGATCTTTTCCCAAGACTGTTCCACATGCTCTGATACCTTTTCACAATCTGCAAACTCAACTGACTAAAAGAGGACATACTTACTCTGGATGAGTAGCAGCTACTATAGAAAACTCATTGTCCCACATAGGTCTCCCAAAGGAGGTTTTCTGTTTCAGACCTGTCAAGATGGCAGTGGCCTTGTCAAAGTTTAATGCTGCATGACCAGCCTGGAGTCAGAGAAATAAGAAGTTGGAAAAAGCAGATCCTGATAGCTGTCTCTTCCTTCAGCCACATTTGTGTGTGTGTGTGTGTGTGTGTGTGTGTGTGGTGAAAATATACATAACAAAACATGAGCCAATTCAACAACTTCTACATGTATAATTCAGTAACATAGATTGCATTCTTCAAGTTGTGCAACCATTCTGTCTATCCTTTTCCAAATTATTCCACCACCATTAACATAAACTCAGTGCTCTTCAAACAAAAGTTCCCCCTTTCCCCCTCCCTCCCAACTCTGGTAACCATGAATAATCTTTAATTTCTATGTACTTGCTTATATCATATACGTGACATCATACAGTATTTGTCCTTTTGTGATTGACTTATTTCACTCAGCATGATGTTTTCAAGGTTCATCCATTTAGTGGCAAGCATCAGGGCTTCATTTATCTTTATGGATGAGTCGTATTTCATTGTGTGCATTTATACCACATTTTGCTTATCCATTCATCTATTGATGAACATTTCGGTTTTTTCCACTTGTGGCTATTGTAAAAAGTGCTACAATGAACATTGGTGTACAGGTTTCTATTTTCATTCCAGCCTTCAATTTGTCTGAGTATATACCTAGGATTGAAATTGCTGGGTCATATGGTAGTTCTTTGTTCAGCTTTTTGAGGAACGACCAACTGTTTTCCGCAATGACTACGGAAGAGGCTGCATAGGTCCAGCTCACTATTATTACTCCCCACTGCTACCCCCTGCATTGTCTCATGATCTTGTTCCTCACCCCCCCACCCCCGTTCCAGTCTCTATAAAAAGTTTAAGATTAACCGATGTTCCTCCTTGGAGGGTGGAAAACAAGTGCTGATGATCTAGGAATGACAAACCGAAGAAAGCACCCATCTTGGGACAAGAAAAGCAGGATGTCATCAGATAACCCACGAGAAAAGATTAACTCATCTGGGATGTGACCACCTCAAGAGGGAACTAACACAAACTTCTAAGACCCATAATCCTGTCCCTATAAAAGCCTTCGGCTGATCTCCAGTGAGGGAGATGGATTTTTGGAGGAATCTATTCCCCTCTGTCTCCTATATATCGATATATAATATTGCTGCTCATCTCTCCCCTGTCTCAGAATTGTCTATTGTGGCAAGTAGAGCCAATCTGCGTTATTATGGTAACAACTATACCATTTTACATTCCCACCAGAAATGGATGAGGATTCCAGTTTCTCCACAACCTTGCCAACATCTATTTGTTCCTGTTTTTTTTTTTTTTTTTGTCATTGCCATTCTAATGTCATTGCCATTCTAATGGGGTGAAGTGGTATCTCATTATAGTTTTTATTTGGATTTCTCTAAAGGATAACTATGTTTAGCATATTTTCATGTGTTTGTTGGCCATTTGAATATTCTCTTTGGTGAAAAGTCTGTTCAAGTCCTTTGCTTGTTTTTTG